AAATTTTGTATATATATATATAATAATTAAGAAATACATTTTGCAGATACATTTTGGAAAAGAAATACATTTAGAATAATTTTATTTTTTTCGTCTTTGCATTGTGACATTAACACCTCAAATTCTCCTTTATTATGTTACAAAATATTTAACTTGCATTATTTTTACATCATGGTAGTATTAATTGTACTGCCTTTAATTTATGCATATTATTTCAAAAACGTGTCTTTTTTACTGTAAAATCTTACTATATTACAATAATTAGTATTAAAATTGTATTATCATGAAAATAATGTCACAATAAAAAAAAAACATACTGTGTATTAATGGTACAACAAGCATACTTAATTTTCATGCAAAATATAATTTAATAATTTTCTTTTGGATTCGCAGTGAAATTATTTGATAATTGACTTATAATTGATTTACATGATAACTGAATTATCATGACAATAATGTGACAATTAAAAAACATTAATGGTACTGAAAGCATGCTCAGTTTTCATGCAAAAACTCATTTCTATTATGAAATTAAAAATGTAGTTTTCATAATGTCACAATTACCGTTACTGAAAGCACACTTCATTTTCATGCAAAGAATATCTTATTTTTTCTTTAGAATTGGGTGTGGATTTAGACTTGGACATGTGTTCAAGAGATTCACCTTTGTATTTATAAATCCATATTATATTACAGCTGAAATGTGCTGTAGTAAATCACCGTAGTTTGTCATAATTCAGTGTTCTGATGTTTCTATTGTTATTTTCAGGTGGTTTGTTCATCATGTCTTACGGCGGATCAGGTTCAGGTTCTCGAGGTGAATTCAGCGTTCATTTCTCCAGCAGAGGTGGAGCAGGACTCATCAGAGCTGAAGAGTGTGTGAAGATTCACGCAAACACTTTCAAACACCCGCAGCAAGCTACAGACTCTTCATCTACTCTGTGTGTGTTTGTGTTTATATGCAGGGCCGCAGGAATCGCTTTACTGGCCGTGATCCTCACAGCGCTGCTCATCCTGGGCTGCTGGTATTACCGTCGACGGGGCGGATACAAGATGATCCGGGTGAGCCAGTGACCCACGAGACGGTCATGTTATCACAGTGTTACCCTGATCTCATCAGAGAAGAGCATCAGAGAAGAGAAAAGTGCCCTACTGTAGGAGATCATGATGCTTGCAACAGCAAGGTCATGGGTTCGATTCCCAGTGAATGCATGATAACATACACCTTAAATGCAATGCAAATCATTTTGCATAAATGCATCTGCCAAATGCATGAATGCAAATGTGAATAAATGCAAAAGTAGCATGTTTTAATGAGATGCTGTACTTCTCGGTCAGGGCTCGCAGAGCTCCAGCTGTGAGGATTGTGGGATTCGCTCATGTGTTTGTCATGTGATTTCTTACCTCTGGTGGGTGTGTGTGTGTTCAGAGCAGGAGAAACAGCGGTCAGTCGTGGAGAGAGATGATGAGAGCGGGTCAGTACAGCGAGTCTGGATCAGGAGAGGAGAACAAACTAGCCTTGAACGAATTCAGCAACCCGCAACCAGCGGTACAAAACACACACACACACACA